TTTTTTTTTTCCAGCTTTCTCAGGCTCTAGATGGATATCTGAGCTCCATGTTGGATGCCAAAATGTTGTGTGATGTTTTATTCTTTTGGTTCTTTGAGAGGCCCACCACCCAGCTCCCAAATAAATCACACACAGCAGCTTTTTCTTAGTTATGAATGCCTGGCCTTAGCTTGACTTGTTTCTTGCCAGCTTTTCTTAAATTATCCTGACTACCTTTTGCCACTGGGATTTTACCTTTCTCTATTTCCATATACCTTTCTTTACTTCTTACTCCATGACTTGCTGTGTAGTGTAGCTGGGTGGCTGGCCCCTGATGTCCTCCTCTCCTTTTCTCTCATTACCCTTCCTCTTTCTCGTTTCTCCTTCTGTTTACAGTCTCTGCCTGCCAGGCCCACCTATCCTTGCTCCTACCTAGCTATTGGCCATTCAGCTCTTTATTAGACCATCAGGTGTTTTAGACAGGCAAAGTAATAGCTTCACAGAGTTAAATAAATGCAGCATAAACGAAAGTAACACACCTTAACATTATATTCCCCAACAGGGAGGGGAGGCTGCTGACTCTCACCCATGTTCTCCAAGGGTCCAGAGGCGGGGATGAACCTTCCTACTCCCCATCACCCTCCTGACTCCTGCACACACTCCTTTAGGAAGAATGACATCCAGCTCTCCCTTCCCCTTTCTGATGCTCCCCGTTTCCTGATCTCCAGGCCCCTTACTTTCTTAGAACTTTAGCTCCTGGCCCAATGTCTTCACAAAGCATTCCTTACTCCTGCCCACATCCTGGATTGCTTCACTCAAGCCAAGGGCCCATCCATTAACCTTGCCATTTAATGTAGAAGGAGCTGCGGGCTGCGTTCCTGCTATCCGGCTCCTGGCCGCCTGGCTTAGCTCTGGAATAACAACACACAAACTGTATTCTTTTAACACTGCCTGGTCCATTATATCTATTCTCTTCTTGGCTAACTCTCATATCTTGCTTAACCCATATTTAGTAATCTGTGTCTCACTGTCTTAACAGGGAAGATTTAACATGTCCGACCTCGCGGCTTGCTCCATTTGCGTCTGACCAGAGAGGAGCGGCATGGTGTCTGGCTCACTTCCTCCCAGCATTCTGTTCTGTCTACTCCACCCACCTAAGGGCTGGCCTATCAAATGGGCCAAGGCAGTTTCTTTATTAACCAATGACCTTCCTCCATCAATTTAATTTCGTGACCTTGGTATCAATATTCCCAGGGCATTCATCTCTACTCTCCCCTACCTCTTTCTGCCTTACCCATGGCCCCAAAGTTCACCTCTGAATATCCAGATCTCATGGCCAACCCCCTCTCCTTCCTATGTGACCGGAGCTGACTGGTCTCTTGCCCTTTCTCTCTGATCATGTATCACCATGGACCAGGCTCTTCACTTCTCTCTTCCTCTGCTCTAACAATTCCCTCACCTGAGTTTGGACCAGACCAGGCAGCTGAGCTGCTGGAGGAAACCACAAAGGAGGACCACAGGCACCAACTTCAAATGGATGGTCATGCTGACTTTTCTTGATGTTTGATTGTTCTGACCCCCCCAAACCCTCTGTTATCTGGGCCAAACTCTCCCCCTCTCTTCAAATCTCGCATGAGCCCTTGCCTTGTCTCGAGCCTCCCTGGCGTCAGGTGCCCCTTCCTGTGGTCATAGATGAGGCCCCACCCATGAGCGCAGCCTTTCCTCCTAAACCCCGGCTCCATCTTCCGCCTTGGGTACAGGACCTTTGCTGTCCACTGTCTTTCCCTTGCTCTGACTTCCTCTTCTCTGTGGCTCCTTCCCGTCTGCATTCACAAACTCTCAAGTTACTTTACCTTACAAACAAGGATAACCATATAAGTCCCCGCCCATGGCTGACATAACGTTCCTCTCTGGCATGTTTAAAAAGATGTATTTAGTATATGAGGGTTTTGCTTGAATGTATGTCCATGTAGCATATGTGTGCCTGGTATCCGCGGAGGTCAGAAGAGGGCGTTGGATGCCCTGGAACTGGAGTTAGGGACAGTTGTGAACCATCATGTGGGAGCTGGGAATCGACCCTCCCACAAGAGCAACTGTACTGAGCCACCTCTCCAGGCCTCTGACTACTGCTGACTCTTCACAAACTTTTCTAGAGTTCTAGGCACACTTGGAACTTACCTCTAAAATAAATAAATAAAAATAATTTGGGGGGTAATTGCTCTTATTTGTTTTTTTTTTCATTTTTTAAAAATTAAAATCTAATGACATCATTCTCCCCCCTCCCATTAGTGCTTTTCTTTATCTCTCATTTCTTCCTTACGCCATTCTTCGCTCCACTAGTCATGACCTGCAAAAGTCCCAACAACGCCCAAGCCTCTAAACCAAGTGTGTATCAATTCTCATGTCATTTGGGTTTCTCTGCCGTTTTAAGAGTTGTTAACTCCTGTTCCCCCCGCCCCCCCAACCCCGCTGAGTCTGCTTGCTCTGCTGACTGTGACAACCACCTCCCCAAGCTCCTTCCTTTCTCCCTGCCTCACTTTCCCACGGGGAGTGTGGACTTTGTCCATGCCTGAGGTCAGAGTTGTCAGGATGCGTCTAGCTGTATGTTCTCTTAGACTACCTCATGTATTTCATGCTACAGTTGTGAGGGCCCACGGATGTGAGCCTGTTCCACCTGGACTGGAGGTCAGAGAGTTTATTTTTGCTCTTTTAAAGTTGCTGACAACGGATGTGGCTACAAACAAGAGATTCTGACCTATGGTGTGGTTAACTCGTATTTTGGGGATAGAAGTGGATACACTCCACTAAACCAGGGGTCGGAGTATTCAAGTCTCTATTCCTTATGGCATGTTAATGAAGTCTGTTGCATCCCTCTCCCCTTTAGGAATGAAGTATATAAGTGTGTGGAAAATAAAGGTGGAGGGATTTTGGATTCAGTATTCACTGAACATCCCTCCCAACGCTGTTCTGTGTTTCTGCCTCTGATGCTCTCATATCTCTTGTTATTTTGACTTAATAATTCTAATCCTGGAACGTATGAGTTTCCTCGAGGCTGCTCTTCCACATACAGCGACACCAGCTACTCCAGAACACAAGCTGCCCTGACCAAGTGAGACTCCCCAACTCAGAAAATGGCCGTCCATCTGGATGAAGCAGCACCACTTAGTTTCCTGAGTCCTCCAGATCTGAGCAGTTGTCCCGAGTCCTCCAGATCTGAGCAGTTGTCCCCGAGTCCTCCAGATCTGAGCAGTTGTCCCCGAGTCCTCCAGATCTGAGCAGTTGTCCCCGAGTCCTCCAGATCTGAGCAGTTGTCCCCAGTCCTCCAGATCTGAGCAGTTGTCCCCGAGTCCTCCAGATCTGAGCAGTTGTCCCCGAGTCCTCCAGATCTGAGCAGTTGTCCCCAGTCCTCCAGATCTGAGCAGTTGCCCAAGCCTTTGTTGTGGCGTCTGTTCTCTACTGTTGTCTCCATCACCCCCCTCCTGCCTGTGCCCTGCCCCCTTCACATTGCAGAGGATAACTTACCTATAGTGCAAATTTTAGAATATAATTTCTACCTCAAATGTCTCATGGAATAACACCCAAACCCTGCTTGTTTCTACACCTTCACCCTTAGAGCTAGAAACTTCTTGTTCTGGTGGCTTTTTCTGTTTGTCAACTTGACACAAGCCAGAGATATCTGGGAAGAGAAACCTCATTTGAGAAATGCCTTTCCCATATTGTCTGCAGTGCGTTTTTTTTTTTTTTTTATTAATGCCTGATATGAAAGGGCGCAGCCCACGGGTAGCAGTGCTGTCCCAGGCAGGCAATCCTAGCAGGCTGAGCAAGCCACAGGGTTCCTCATTGTCTCTGTATCAGTTCCTGCCTCAGTTTCCCTGGCTGATGAGTTGTAAGCCAAACCAGCCCTTTCTTCTCATGGTCTCATGGTCATGGTGTTTTATCATAGCAATAGAAAACCAAGCTTAAAAGACACTTTCCTTGGACTCTTACACAAATGATCCTGTTCTTACACTTCCTTTCGTCCATATCAAAATTATAGTTAGTTTCAGTGCATTTAATTATTAAGTACCTCTCCAGGGGGGCTGTGAGCTCCAAGAGAAAGTGTCGAGTTTGCTGTCCCTGCACTTTGCCCTGCGCCCAACACGTACGTTGGACAGCACAATTATTAAATGTGTATCTCTGCCTACGGATGTTGAACCCGGGTCATAACCTAAGAGTAAGCACAATAGCTAAGTGGGTGTGGAATCCAGCACGGAGTTATCCCCCAAAGTCACTGAGGAAGCTGGCTGGCATGCTTCCAGCGGCACTCAACGGCACCACGGACAGAACGCTTCCCATTTTCCTTCCTTCTTTCTTTTTTTTTAAAGTTCAGGGCCTGGGCAGCTAGCTCTTGGCAGCTGTGGAAGACTCCGGCTTTACTTCCCCGTTGCTTGCCAGCTGACTTTACTCAAAACTCCTCGGCTAGCAATCCTTGAAAGCGTGTCTGTGGCGACTGAGAGCGCAGTGAAGGGAAACAGTAACATCTGATGCATGGAACAATCCAGCTTTGTCTCTTCACCGTATTTATGTGTCAAAACAGGGGCCGGCAGCTAATCAAACACACAGACCTAACTTCTAATTTGCTTCTTTTCAAATGTTTTATTTGCTTTCCGAATTATGAATAAAATCGTGTGTGTGTGTGTGTGTGGGGGAACCCTCAAACCCAAGGAAGGCATACAATTCCCGTTCCTTTCTTGTCCAGGGTTACAGTGGTTAAGCGTTTGTGTGACAACACAAAAATCCAACTTGTTGCCTTCCTGTAGCTCTTAGGCGAAGCGTGACCAACATAAAAAACAGTACGGTCTGGAGGCTGCCAATCAACATTTCCAGAGTCACCACTCAAAATTCCTTCTTCTGGACGACCCCCCCTACCCACGCGGCTCGACGAAGCCAAAACAACTCGTGGGCTGCTGCGTTTCGCTGAGAGTAAGCGCTGTGGTCCAGCGGGCTGAAATTCAACCCCCAGCGCTCGATAATGGCTTCCCTTTGGCTAACTCCGCCTGACAGTCTTCTGCAAAAACTCAAACAGGTGTGGAGTGTTAATTTCTCAGCGGGATTAACTCTAGAGGGTCGTTCTAAGGCCTCGGCGATAAGGATGAAGGGGGAGCTTCCAGGCGCGCCCGGTCTCGATGCTCAAGGCGTGCCGGCCTGGCCGGCCTACTCAAGCCTTGCAAACTAGAGCGACTTCTCCATCCGGTCTCGCGGGCTTCCCCCACCGGGCCTCACCTTGGCAGGCAGCGCTTTGGAGAGGCTGCGAAGGCGCTGGGTTAGGGGTGACCACCGCGAGTCCCGTGCGCTTTGCGCGTGGGTGTGGTTAGTGCCCATCCCAGCAGCGTTATGAGGGCTCAGCGTTGGGATGGCAGGCTGCCCTCACTCCTGGCGTTGCCGTTTGGGTGCCCCCACCCCCATCTTGCATTCCTGCCTCCCCGAGGCGCGAGTGGAACCACGTGGAAAAACCCATGTCTTCACAACCCGAAGACCCGGAGCCGAACAGGCACCACCCTTGGGCTTTGAGCAGCCAGATGGCATCAGGGACTGGGTGCCCGGCGAGCAAAGGTCAGGTTCACTTAGGTCCAGGTTTCCCTCTCCTCACCTCCCAAGGTGGAGCCGTCTAGGCCTAGGCACACGCCGGTCCTGGCCGGAAAGAGCCATCAAAACTCTCACCAAGCAGCGCGCCGACAGCACAGAGGGGCCCCGGGAGTTGAGGAGTTTGGACTGGACCCTGAGTCTCAGCAGGGTGGGGGAAAGCTACTTCCTGGGGCGGGTGGGGGGCGCATCTTTGGAGGTCGCGCTTCTCGGTGTAGCAGAGGGCTTTCCGCGCGTCACGAAGGGCGGAGAGCCCGGCGGGCCCGGGCGCCGACAGGCGGGAGGGTGGGAGGTCGGCCTTTCCCCAAACTTGGGCTACGGGGTGGGGCCCGGCCGTTCCGGCGGTGACGCGCGCGGGTGGCGCTGCGTCTGATTGGCGCGGCGGGCAGAGGCGGGGCCGGGGGGGGGACGCCGTAGGCGGCGGCGGTGCTTGGAGCCGCGGCGGGGAGTGAGGCGCGTCGGCAGCCGCGGCAACAAGTGCTGGAGCCGAGGCGAGCCGGAGCCGCCCAGACCCCGCCGGGCTGCCCATCCGCGCGCGGCGCATGGAGCAAGAGCGGCGGCGGTCGCGGGGCTGAGCCGCAGGCGCGGCTGGGACGTGGATGCGGCCGCGGTCTCCCGCTCCGCCCCGCAGAGCTGGAGCTGCCCCCGGACAAGGTAGGGCCGGGTGGGTGGGCACGGGCCCGGCGTCCCCGCCCCGCCGCCAGTTCCGGCCGGTGCGGGCGCCCTGCACTCCCGCCGCTCCTCCGTGGCTCCTGCGGTGTCTGCTCCTTCGGGCCCTCCTCCCCTCCGCTCGGCTCCTCACTTCCCTGGCCTCCGCAAATCGTTTCCCCGGCCTCCTCACCTACCGCTCCTTTTCCCCTCCTCCCCGACCTTTTCACCTGCTCGGCCTCCGCTGTTCCTGCTGTCACAGGGAGAGGGCAGTGACACCCTGGGGCCCGCGCTGCACCCCGCGCGGGTGGTGCGGGCCCGGGCGGTGGGGGAGCGGCGCGTGCGGTGTGCTGCCCCGCCCGCGCACTGCGCCGGGCTCGGGTGCCGCAGGGGCAGATCAGGTGTTTGTGAGCTACTGGCGGCCGCTTTCCACCCGCGCCCTCCCCCAAGCTGCAGGCACTGTTACCTCCGAGTCCCCAAAGACTGGTTTCTGTGAAACTTCGGGAGAACCATTCGCTTTGACCTCTAAAATAAAATATTCCACGCCGCCCGCGTTGAATGATTAACCAGACTCAGGACAGAGCCTGGGGAGCGGACCCTGCGAGTGGCGGGTGGGCGCGCCTGCGGAGCGGGGACCCTTTTGGGGACCTGATACCCAGCATCTGGTTAATTGCACTCGCTTGGGGTCCCCTGAGCTGTGGGGTCTTAGGTGGAAAGGAAGTTCAGTGAAGACGGCTACTTTTTAGTGTCACGGCGTGCGAGGTCATCTTGAAAAGTATTGTACACATTTTGTAACCTGGGTTGGCTGCAGGGCGGCTGGTCTTTGCTCCCTTGCCTGCGGTGTTCGCGTCAGCACCCCCAACTTGACAGACTGATGGGAATTATAAAACCTGTTCTTCTGCCCCTCTTCCCCCCCCCCCCCCCCCCCCTGCGGTGTTCGCGTCAGCACCCCCAACTTGACAGACTGATGGGAATTATAAAACCTGTTCTTCTGCCCCTCTACCCCCCCCCCCCCCCCCCCCCCCCCCCCCCCCCCCCCCCCCCCCCCGTAAGCCGTGCTTTTCAGGTTTCAAAGCCAGTGGGTGAAAATAGGCTTCCTGTTATAACAGATTGAGCTAGGAGGGTGGGACCAGGGCCCAGCCCAGAGTGCGCTCCAGTGGGGTTCAAACCTCTCACCGCGAGGGACCCGCCCGAGGCCTGCTGGTCTCTTCCACCTGTCCTAGTCCGACTTCGGTTTCTTTTTAATAGAGATTATGAAACCTAGTCGAACCGGGGAGTTTTTACGCACAGCCCGAGAGCTCTTTGTTTGGTTAGGTTTTAAGACCAAAGAAGTGTGCCGGAGCCCCGTAGAACTTGGCTTGAGTAATTTCCGCGCTTTCCAGCGCGGTGGTCTTTTTTAATCAGCCGATCGCTTGAACCTTCTTTTCCAGCGTGAATACTGCTTTCCCCCTCGGGACCTTGTCTGCCGCTCTTAATCTAGTGTTTTTGTGCAGATGGCAAATATAATAGGATGCCGAATTCTCCGTTAAACTTAAGTCCCTTCACTGGGCTTGTTTCTGCCACGTGCTGTTAAGTGACAAGTTAGCGTGAGCCTTGTTTCCCCAACTTAGTTTCAGAAACGGGATACTTGCTTTGTACGGTTGTTTTTGAAGACTAATAGGATGCTTAAGTGCTTAAAGAGATCACAGCGAAGTTCCCGCTGGTTCAGCTTCCGCTTGCCAAAAACAGTGATCTGTTGTTGGAACCGTTCAGATTTGTCTAGCTGAAATCGCCCAAGCTTGACAGATGGAGGAGGTAGCAGGTTTTTGAGACCTAAGGAATGAGGTAGTCTTAGAGAAAAACAAACATAATTTGCTTATGAATTGCTTTCGCCTAGTCCCTTTGCTTTTGTAAGGCCTGGGCATAGAGATGGCTTATGGTTTTGAAGATACACTTAAAAAAAATTCAAAGCAGGGCGTGGTGGTCCATATCTTTGATCCCAGTACTCTGGAAGCAGAGGCTAGCTAATCACCACCTTCTAGGCCAGCCTGGGCTACACAGAGAAACCTTGTCTCGAAAAACCAAAAAATGAAAAAAAAATTAGATTTCCCTAATTTTAACATATTACAGTTACGCTAAAAATGGGAAAGGGGGATGGATAATTTACTGTTGAATTTCCACTATACTGTTTGTTCAAATGTGTGTGTATGTTTAAGGGTTGTATTAGGAGACAAGACCAAATACTGCTCATCTTAAAATGATGCTGGTTGGTTTTAAAGTTGGGATACTCTATATTAGAAATTTGGGGGGCTTTCTCAAATGAAGGAGAGAAAGGATGAGTCTTTGTTTCTCAAGTAAACTTCGAAATGGCTACTGTTTTGTTTTTAGCCATAATTTAGGGCCAGGTGTGGGGCCTATTTATACCTTTAATATCAGCACAGGGAAGGCAGAGGCAAGCAGATCTTTTAAGTTCTAGGAGAGCCAGGGCTACATAGACTCTATCTCAACAACAAACAAAATAATCCATAATTTTGGGTCTCTATCAGACCTATCTTGACACATTGGGTGGGTACTATTAATTTTTCCTAACTCGTTTAATGGACATGTTATTTGACTTTTCGGGCATTTTAAAACAGCTTTATTAGACAGTCTGTTCATACTTCAAAAATTACTAAGTAGAGTTTTGAGATTTTGCAACCAGGCTACTATTTGGTAATACAACCCATTAAAACGCCCAAATAGTGGTATATAAATTACCAGAACTCTCAGAACTTACCATAGCAGGCTTTTGTCGTCTGTAATTGCTTTGGGGTCACAGTTGTCTGGCATTCTATGCTGTGTACAGATTAAAGCATGAATTGAATGAGGCGCAACTATTTCCAAAGCAGTAACTATTTCCTAATTACTTACCAGAAATTACTCAGGTAAGGAGAGAGCACTTAACCCCAGGCCCAGCTCACCGTGCCCTACCCCAGATGTAGTTCCAGCTGTCTTTTCTCCCCTTCTGGAGTGGGTACTTGATGAATATATTAAAATGGCAGGATGAATTTCTGCCTCTCTAGAGAGGCAATTACTGTTTGGATAAGGGGTGTGTGCGTGTGTGGGGTGAGGCTTTTTGAGAATTGATGTAATCATTTCATCATCACCTACTGGTAGAGAGGCTTTGCCAGTCTGAACAGAGCCTGAGACTCAAGCAGTTACAGTTTGATGGACTGGTTCCTGAGTCTCCGGGTGCAGTTCCTCCTGGAAAAAGTTAGCCCTGCTGAGTTTCCTATTTGTCTCACCTGTATGTTGCCAGTATTGTAAAGTTGTTACTTTTGCTGCCAGCTTTGTTTGCTTGGCTTGGCTTCATTATTGTAACAAAATCCCAATTTTTTGAGAGCCAGCATTGTATCTGATTAAATATAATGTGTATTTTAACATTTATGGTACTTTTAGGTGTCCATATTTTATGTAAATGTAATAAATTATCACAAATTATTTTCTGTGTCTCTATAGACATTCCCTTCAGCAGGGTGTTTTCTTTTGGTTTTGTTTTGCTTTTTCTCCTTGAGGGGAAATTCCCAGTAGTCAGGAAATCGATACTTTACACTTTTCATTCTGTGACATTTTAAACTAGGTTTGTTTAGATTCTTCAAACAAACAAACAAACAAACAAAAAACCAACAAAAACCCAAAACCCTTAGTAACCAAGGTAATCAGTTCTAAGAATGTAGCAAGGCCCTGTGAACTGTGAAAAGATGGTTTGGTAGTTAGGACCATGAACTTGGAGTCAGTTGACCAAGGGTTTCCTTTTTGTTAATGACATAATGTAGCCTGTGCTGAACACGTGAGTGTGAGCACCTGTTTATGTTAAGAAGTAGGAACTTCCGCTGCACTAAAGGCTTCTGTGCTTGCCCTTGATGGTGACGTCATTGCAAATGTCATTTACAGCGCTGTAGGTAGGTTTTACTTGACCTCTAGTTAATTAGAATCAGTCCTAGCACACATAGTGTTTTATAAACAGTGGAGTTTGAACCTGGTTTTACCACACTAGCTCTGTGATGATGTGTGTGTTGCTTGGCCTCCCTGAACCATGAGATGCTAGGAAAATTAAAGCAAACGATACAGCTAAGATACCTGGGTGGGCGAGATACCTCGGTGAGTATGGGGGTGCCTGCCATCAAACCTGACTGTGTGAGTTCAACCCCTGGATCTCAGAGAGAAGCACCCCCCCCCCCCCCCCCCC